ATCTATGAGAGTTAGGGTTGGTTTAGGAATCAGAAATTAGGGAGGGGTAAGGGGAAGTGACATCGGAGGATAGGAAGGTTTGCTTGGATTTTAAAGAAAAAGGTAAATGAAAGATAAGACAAAAGTAATATCTTCAGATAGCTCCATGTTGCCGAGTGGTAACCGGGTTGGCGAGCAGGGTTTGAGGGGGTTGGGGGGGGGGGTAATACTCGAGCAAGACCTTTTCCTTTAAGCTTAATAATGTGCTTTACTGTGACGAACAAGGACGATCTTTTTATTGGCAGGACTTTGTTTCTGTATTGTTTCAATTTTTACATTGAAGCAGTTCTTTTGATTTGAACTGCTTTGCACATACATAGAGTTTGATATTGAATAAAGAGAAGCATATCGACACGATAACGGACATTCTGTGCAGAGGCAAAGGAAGACAGATTCGATAACTATTTATAAGGGCGTTCAGTTGTGCCTTCCAACCACTCACTTTACCAAAGCCATTAAAAAAGCATAAAAAACCCAACAAAAACAAACGCAAAAAACACAAAGCAAAAAAACAAACAACCAACAACAAAACATGAGTAAAGTCGTATTTCAACTTTGCTCTCGAAATCTTCAGCATGTCATGCGCTCCTTTTTTTGTGGTCATAGCTCTCCTCACGTGAGTCGCACAGCGCTCACGTGTGTTAGTTTAGAGAAAACGTGACCCCTCGAGGGCTTTGTCTCGTAACAAGCCCAATGGGTGGTGCTAGACCACAACAATAACGGACACACAGATTTTATGAACATGACTTCACACCCCATGTGGGTGAAGAGAGTATGGTGCAATGAGGACAAAAGAGGGGGGGGGGGGGTTACGTGTAATTAAATGCTTGTAAATTATGCTCCACATCCCTATCGACACTATTCTGATCATTTAATTAAATAAAACACTGGCCGTTTTAGCTCTGTCCGTCAGGACCAACCAAGGTAGACTGGGATACAAATAAATACTGTTCAGCAGGTGGGGGTATTCGATAAATATAACAACACCCCTTCCCCATACAGGGAATCGCACTGCATGCTATGATGAAGAGTTTACTGCCACACAATAATGTGGCCTAAGTTGTTGTTCCTCACTACCCTAAAGCACAAAGTCTGTCTGTTCAGTACCAAGTTTTGATCAATTTGACGTAAACAGTTTTACTTTTCACAACATGGTCAAGCTTTATCAAATGCAAATATTTCAATATCGTGATAACGACTCCGAATAATTTTACGATTTTGATAGAAATAGATCACATAGAACATTAATTTGGTTTCTGACTTCATGGCCTTAGTAATTCAAAACGGACAAATATGTCAAAGTGAATTTTTAAATTTTTAATGAAGTGTTATATCAATGCTTCTGTTTTGTGGGATGCAGGGGTGGCAAATAACCGTTGCACACTACCAGATTGTACAGCTCAGCTACTGAAGGAAAAGCCAATGTGACTTTTTCTGGTTCTAAACAGCAGTGCAGTATATATGTTGATGCACTGTCATGCCCTTTTCTTCTTTCTTCTCTTCTTTTTCTTACAGTCGTCATCGTTCGGTGACTCCGAATGCAGCTCACTTGGTCAAGCAATCATGATCAACAGGACGAATTCAAGATTTCAGGGATGACAAACAACTCACAATAGAAAATCGCCCATTTTTTCTGGGATGTAACAGAACATTTTCAGGCAATTCCAAAACAGTCCCAGTCTTTTGAGGTTGAACCTTCAAGCTGAGGTGTTTGCACTTGATCTATGTTGAGGGTGGCCTACGAACAGTTAAGTTTCTTTCAAGACTGAGCATGCAATGTTGCTGTTTGTCAAAATAACTCTTTGAACCAGGTGATACCTTTATTTTTGAAAGCCTCTTTCTTATTGATTTATTCTATGTTTTTGCTGTTTTGAGTTATAAAAAAGGGGGAAAACCTACTTTGAGAAAGTATCGTAGCATGCATCGTGCAAAATGAATGGTGTGGTTCTAATTTCGAGTTATAATACCACATGTTAAAGAATTTTTGGGCCAATCATTTCGTATTAAATGGCAGCATAGACATGTCTGGAAAAAATATGGGCGCTTTTTAAAGCTTACAACAATGGTCATTTACAGCCCAGAAACGTTACTAAAGCAGCTATGACAGGGCA